CCTTTGGAGTCTACAGGCCTTCTGACAGATCATTGATTGATCATTTTTTCCATATTTTCTTTTCTAATAGCGCCGAACAGACGGTCTAGTCGTATAGGGAAGGATACGACAGAAACCCCAAATCATATGCAAAGGAGTTGTAGAGCACACCAGGATAGAGCGCGCCCGCCCCACCAACACATACCTGCAAACACACGGAGCATCCACCAGAGGTGCGCCGAGAGGTCATGAGGAGGCCTCCACGCCCCGCGTGGTTTGCCCTGTCTATCTGGGCAGCGTTGTTGGTAGCGCTTGCGGTAGCGCTGCCGGCAGCGCCAGTTGCCATTCCTGCTCGTACATCAGCTTTGGCCGTTTCTCTCCGGCAGCCACCCCCACCTGCTGTGAACGCGGCCACTGAGGACAGCGAGCTTGGCATGGAGGACAGCGGATATGCAATCGACCCAAGCGTGCTGACTGATGATGAGGATGACTGTGAGTTTGATATGGGCGCATCGTACAAACCGATATATGCTGCGAACTCGCACAAAGCTGGTCACAATACCCGGGGAGCAGCTCGGCAGCTACGACAACAACAGGCGCCGGCATCACCGGTCACACCGTCGCTCCGGACGACTTTGCTCGGGCTGCAACAGCGGCAGCGGCAACAGCAGCAGCAGCAGCAACCATTTCCGCTGGAGCGCTTGGATCTAGGAAGTGTACCGAACTCGCATGACGCTGGCCACAATACCCGCGGTGTAGGTGGGCAACAGCGGCAACAACAGGGGACCCCGGAGCTACCGGTCACGGACCGGCTCCCTACGACCTCGCGTGAGGCGCAACAGCAGCAGCAGCAGCAGCAGCAGCAGCAGCAACAGCAACAGCAACCGTCTCCGCCGGAGCGCTTGGATCTAGGAAGTGTACCGAACTCGCATGACGCTGGCCACAATACCCGCGGTGTAGGTGGGCAACAGCGGCAACAACAGGGGACCCCGGAGCTACCGGTCACGGACCGGCTCCCTACGACCTCGCGTGAGGCGCAACAGCAGCAGCAGCAGCAGCAGCAGCAGCAGCAACAGCAACAGCAACCGTCTCCGCCGGAGCGCTTGGATCTAGGAAGTGTACCGAACTCGCATGACGCTGGTCACAACACCCGCAGTGTAGGTGGACAACAGCGGCAACAACAGGGGACCCCGGAGCTACCGGTCACGGACCGGCTCCCTGCGACCTCGCGTGAGGCGCAACAGCAGCAGCAGCAGCAGCAGCAACCATCCCCACCGGATTCTTCTCCGGCGAACCCGGCTGTACGTGTCGCTTTCATTAGCCCCGGCGAACGACGTGGCGAAAAGTGCGGCAACAAGGTTGGAGATAGGACGGCAGGATTTTGCAAGCATCATGACGGCCTACAGAAGCGCCGAAAGACGGCGTCAGGTGCAGCTCTTGGAGTAGGGGGCAGCGTCGAGGCAGGCAACTATGACTCGGAGTCGGAGTTGGGTGGTGGTATGGACGAATTGCAGACTCCTGGCGCGCGTCCTTTCATAGCGAAGTCCAAGNGTACGTGTCGCTTTCATTAGCCCCGGCGAACGACGTGGCGAAAAGTGCGGCAACAAGGTTGGAGATAGGACGGCAGGATTTTGCAAGCATCATGACGGCCTACAGAAGCGCCGAAAGACGGCGTCAGGTGCAGCTCTTGGAGTAGGGGGCAGCGTCGAGGCAGGCAACTATGACTCGGAGTCGGAGTTGGGTGGTGGTATGGACGAATTGCAGACTCCTGGCGCGCGTCCTTTCATAGCGAAGTCCAAGGAACTGCACTACGCGCAGGCCTCCAAGATCGAGGATGAGGGCTTCCGGAGAGCGCAGGAGAGTGTGTGGCACCTCAAGCGGATCAAGCTCCCAAAACCAAAGGTGTGCAACATATGTAGTGCTTAGCCTACCTTTTAGCGCTGGCGTGCTTTCCCTTACAACGTATCCCTACGTGGTAAAACACCATGAACTACACAACGGTGCGCTTTCATTTCCTTCGGTAACCTACACGAGTGTACACATATGATTTTTGTATTCTTCCTCTTTGAGCAGCATCAACCGCACTACTGCTGTAGACGCACGACTAATGCCAAATGCGTGTGTCGCTCATTGCCGTAGGCGATACTGCGATAAGTTTGTACCATTTTGTCGTGTGTTGTTCGGTACTATCGTGCGAGCCTATGTTAATTTTAAGTGTATTATTGGGTTGCCCTCTAATTATACCTGGTGTTTGTTGTTGGTCTTTTCCAGGCTGGTGAACCACCCCCCCCTCCCATCCCGGACGATCCGAAAGGGTGGGTGTTCGAGGGACTACCTCGTGACGAGTCATCCAACCCGTACAAGAGACGGCACAAACACCCCGGCGGCGACAATTTCAGCCTATCGGACCAGCTGAAGGCGAGTCTACCGAAGGTCGACAAACAAGGGCTAGCTGTTTTGCGTTCGTTCGTCAACGGGAAGGGTGGGGGTCTCCCCTTCATGTTCTTGAGAAGGCTTTCCCGACGGAGGCGCAGGACGTCGTCCTGAGTGAGGTGAGGAAAACGAAGGTCGTGCGGCCCCTCGGCCCAAACTACGTAGTAAACTGCAATATCGAGCCTCAACACTTGCAACACCACTCTAGGTGCGAACCCCCCCTATATGTAGGTCCGCCGATGCTGCGTTTCGACGGTTTTGTGTTTGCCGAGATACAAGTGCGCCCTCTGTGATAAAAAAAATCAACCGTCGAATATGATTGAAATATATATATGCTACTCTCGGCAGGGAGCTGGAGGACGTGTTGAACAAGTGCTGGAGCGAGCTTGTGGACCCCCGCGCATGGCTATCGTACGACGAGCAGATGGTGAAGAGCACGGCGAGAGTGATGTTCGCGCTAATGAGGTTCAACAAGTCGAAGCCTATCAAGCTCGGTGAGGTGGAAAGTGAATACCCGAATAGATCCGGGAGGTCGGGCAGGGAGGGGAGTGTACTCATAGTCGTGCATGCCGTAGTCGTTAGACCATTGACCTCGCATCCCTACAAAGCCGGGACGGAGCACGCCGGGTTCTCACCGGACCAGGCTCTCACATCACCAAGCGCGAAGCGCCGTGAGNGTCGTTGCCCGGCGACCAAATCCCATCCCCGATTGCAAAGACCGGGGGAGGCGCAGGAGGAATGGGGGGGGGGCTTAATTTCTTGGGTGTGATCTCGGTGGCATCATCCGTTCCCTGACCGGTGCACGTATGAAGTCGTACCGCACACCTGGTTCACCCGCACCCCTCCCCCCCACCTCCAATACATTGGGGTTGGGTCTTCGTCGCTGGGGAGCACGGCGATCGTTTCGTACCCCCGACAATCAGGGATACTCTTATCTCTTGNTGCAAAACAAAAATGCTGTCACTTGGTTGTCGAGCTCATGAAGTGATTGGCTTGTTTGACAATGTCGTTGCCCGGCGACCAAATCCCATCCCCGATTGCAAAGACCGGGGGAGGCGCAGGAGGAATGGGGGGGGGGCTTAATTTCTTGGGTGTGATCTCGGTGGCATCATCCGTTCCCTGACCGGTGCACGTATGAAGTCGTACCGCACACCTGGTTCACCCGCACCCCTCCCCCCCACCTCCAATACATTGGGGTTGGGTCTTCGTCGCTGGGGAGCACGGCGATCGTTTCGTACCCCCGACAATCAGGGATACTCTTATCTCTTGGCTCTTCCTTTTTTTTTCGTCGACCATGAGGGTGGTCGAGTAGAACATGTGCGGAGTCGCATACCCTCACTCCGCGCAAAGACCGCCATGTGTGAAGTTGGTCGAGCACCTTGGAGGCAGGTACAATGTGCTTTGTTATTGTCTCTGGAAGCACAGGTGAAGTACCAGAAGAGCAGCACAAGATGCCGAACACGAAATAATAAATATTTAATTTTGTAGGTCCCTGGGTAGTCAGGACTTGAAGTGCACCGCTCGTGTCGACTTTGACATCTTGTTTGAACACAGTGAGGGAACAATGGTAACAAATCGTGTGTCCCTCTGTTTTTCGTCCGGGCCCGCAGGAATCAAGCTCTGGGCTATTTTGCTGCCCTTCCGGCTACTGCTTCGTCCAAAGCATCGACGGCGGGTTCAGCGGCGACACTAAGCTGAGGCCGTATGCGAGTTGTCCCATTGGGAAGTCGGCCCGCACATTCATGTACGTCTTACTCGAGGCGTGCGAGACTTTCTCCGACAAGATCATCGGCTCCGGTGTTACNTCTGGAAGCACAGGTGAAGTACCAGAAGAGCAGCACAAGATGCCGAACACGAAATAATAAATATTTAATTTTGTAGGTCCCTGGGTAGTCAGGACTTGAAGTGCACCGCTCGTGTCGACTTTGACATCTTGTTTGAACACAGTGAGGGAACAATGGTAACAAATCGTGTGTCCCTCTGTTTTTCGTCCGGGCCCGCAGGAATCAAGCTCTGGGCTATTTTGCTGCCCTTCCGGCTACTGCTTCGTCCAAAGCATCGACGGCGGGTTCAGCGGCGACACTAAGCTGAGGCCGTATGCGAGTTGTCCCATTGGGAAGTCGGCCCGCACATTCATGTACGTCTTACTCGAGGCGTGCGAGACTTTCTCCGACAAGATCATCGGCTCCGGTGTTACCGTAGCGATGGACAACTTCTTCACGGGAGCCGCCCTTCTGCGATGCCTCGCTACGCGCGACATTTTCGCCGTCGGGACTCTTACGCGGCAACCGCACGGGGTGGATCTCGCCAACTACATCTGGTCGAAGGAGGGCATGAAGGCGACGGAGCGTGGGCAGATGCTGACGGCCCGCTCGGACGAGCTCGTGATCGTCAAGAAGATCGACTCCCAGGAGGTGCACCTGATGTCGTCGAAGCATGTATTTGCGGAATAGTGGGAACCTCTCGCTTTCGAGTGAGTACAACCGTAAATCCATGCCGCGATGATATTTTCTCCCGGACCTGCATCCAATCGTGGTGTACCGTGATACGTACATTCATTGCTGTCATGGTTTTTCTCCCAACCAAGTTGTGTGTTGTACACGGCATGGTAAATGTGGAAACGCTAGTTAGTTCGGTTATGAAGGCGTGCTTCTCCGCTGGAAGTGAGCGTCTCCGCTGGAGACGGACGCCTTCGGTTGTGAGATTGAAACTTTGCTTCGCCTGCAGCACGGGCTAAGGTCACATGTGCATCACCCCTCCATGTACATCTCTTTGGATCTACCTGACACGCCCGCTGATCTGCTTTTTGCAAATCTTGACAGGAAGTGAGCTGCGGACAACAACGGCGAGAAAGTGTCGAGCAGTCAGCCACTAGCTCGCAAGGAGTACGTGAAGAACATGGGTAGCGTGGACGTCGCGGACCCGCCCACGCCTACAAGCACAGGCCTATGACGTTATTCTGGAGGCGTGTCTTCGACCAAAAGTTCTCTCAAGCTGTCAGCAACGCGTGGCTCCTGTTTTACGAAAGGGCTGGGGTGCTAGCCACGCAGTGTACGGCGGCGTTGGAGGCAGCGACCCAAGACGGAGGAGTCGGTGACGCCGGGGAGGCCGGGGAGGCCGGGGAGGGAGGAGCAGCCGCGGACAGTTGCGATCTCACGGTGGCAGAGCTTCGCGAGTTTCAATCCCTCAAGAAGGCCATGAAGGTGGAGCGTGTTGACTGGGACCGTAGGCTCGCGAATCACCTCATGTCCTTGTGCAGTGTAGGTCACACCGAGACGGGGGCAAGACGCGCGACAAAAGCTGTTGAGACCTACAGCGTGAAGGACGCAAAGTCATCCCTTGTATGTTATGGGGGGATTTGCGAGAAGACCGCAAAGGCCAGCCGGTACACGGGGAGTAGGACTCGGGGTGTATGCTGGTGTGATGCTTGCACGGATGGGTTGGGGAAGGACCGGGCGTTGATCCTGTGCACGATGTGCCACAGAGTACCAGCAGCGCATGTTACCGCTAGAAAACATGCCGCCGAGAGAAAGTACAAGCCCAACTCTTGGTCGGAGGTGACAGCTATGTAATTTGTTGTTGATTGATTGTGATGTTGACATGTGCAAAAATAGTACCGGCAAGTGATCATGTCGCCGCCGCCAGAAAACTATCGGGGTGTGTATGTGCTCCTAGTTGTGCATGTCGCAGTCGTGGGGGGCGGCGGGTGTACTCATGGTCGTGCATGCCGTAGTCGTCAAACCATTGACCTCGCATGGGAGGGGGGGGCGTACTCGTATGTTTTGCATGCCTTAGTGGTTAGACCATTGACCACGCGTCCTCGAGAGGACGGAGCATTGTCTCCGCAGGACCGATCACCGATGGCCAATCGTTCCTTTCTACTTTGCCAAAGGTGGCTCAAAAATGTCTTCCCCAGTCTGTCTATCCTAACGATATCCCTTCCCGCCTTTTCAACCCACCTCCTATGCCCCAGTACAGCTACCGTCCTTTCCTCTCTGCTCCATGCCTCAAACATCTCCCTGTATGTCTATTTTTCCCAGCTCAGTCACGCACACTTCCCTCTCCTTCTTGTACAACGGACATTCCGCGACTACATGAACACGGTCTTCGCATTCGAAGCCGCAATTACATTTGAACTCGTCGTCTTCGTCGTCTACCGTCCTATGTCTTCGTCGACGTTCTCGAAGGCCTATGTCCCCGGTCCTGAATTTGACCTTAAGCTTTCATTCTGCATCCATTGGTCCATGTAGGTAGTCCTTGAACCTTATTCCTTCCTTCAACATTCCGTACACTTCTAGACCCTCCTTGTCCCTGTTTCTTTTCTTAGGTTCTGTTCTCTCTCGGCACAAGCAACAAATATCTTCTCCTTGAACCCCTAGTGCTCCCCCTATCTACCAGGATGTAGTCGAGGATCGAATATTCATTGCAAACTGCCGGTTGCCCGGTGAACTCCGGCTTATCGCATTCCCTCCTACCGTTCGACACCATCAGTTCGTTGCTTCCCCAGAATTCAAGCATCCTCACTCCGTTGTCATTCACTTTGTCTTCTCCGTGCTGCCCGATCGCCTGTCCTCTACTGGAAGCTTTCCCTACTCTGGAGTTGAAATCGCCCACCATGACAACTTCTCCCTTTCTACTGAACCTCCGGACATGTTCCCCAATTTGTCCAAAGTTCTCCTGCGCATTGGTCGCGACTTTCTTCGACGACGGTGGGACGTATACGTTCCCTAGAAACAAATCTTTCTCACCCCGCTCCCCAGGTACCTTAAGCCATAGGCTTTCCTCGAACTCCGTTTTCACCACTACTTCCACCACGTCAAACAAGTGTTCCTTGACCAGGAATCCGACTCCC